GTTGGTGGTCGATAGGGTAGAGAGTCCGTCTGACACTGCTCTTAATATTCAAGCCTCTGATAACAACAATAGTCTCCGTCTTGCAGTCATATCTTCTTTTGCACTTTTTGAACCCTGTAAAACGGCTTGTACTCTAAACTATTACTATGGGGATCCACATACCTGGCCCTAGGAATCAGTGAGGTTTCCGTCCGGCAAGTACGCATTACTCTAACCGAGCGAAAAGGAAAAAACTGCCCTAGCCCAAAACTGGGGGCCCTGTTACGGACCCCTTCTTAATCGTCGCTCGACATTTCATTATATCAAAAATTTTAGCTGTACATGGACGATTCTCGTACTTTTGATGAAGTTTTAGGGAGGAAATGGCAAAGTTCAGGCGCAACATGTGATTCCAAATCGACTCCGAAAATCTGCAAAAACTGTCAATTATAACATTTTCTAATTTTTTAAGCCCTTTGAGAAATTCTTTCTCGCTTTTTCGCTTATACTCTTGATTGTGAGGTTGTCTGAAACTTCTTGTATGTAAGTCACCTGAGAACCAAATTTTTCTCGAATTCAGCTCGAAGTACATTGGAGGACATGCAGATGTGATTGGAGGATGCGTAACAACTCGTACACTTGACCAATGGAAACGCCTTAAACTACAGCAACTTACCACCGGCAGTGCCTTGGTAGGTATGGGTCATTGCACAGAAAAACCTAAGAGATCTGATTAATCCCTTTCTTTTAGTCGCCATTCGATGCCGCTCTGTTGGCTCGTGGACTGAAGACCTTGCCATTGCGAGTTGATAAGATCTGTTCAAACGCTCACCACATTGCGCAATTCCTTGCTAAGCATCCGAAGGTGCAATTAAAATACTTTTATGAGTTTTGTGACAAGTAATTTGGACATAGGGAATTGTAAAGGGTAAATAGAAGGTCTCTGATTTGGCCTGAATTCTTCTGTGAACGGCCTTCATCTAAGATGAAGTTGTAGCCTGAATGGCTTGTAGCCTGAATGGATCGTTCTTCAGAGTTCTAACTCCCTAATCAGCTAGTTTCTTTTCCCATTTGGTCGATTTGGGGTTTTTTTCTCACGACTACATGTTACAGTCTCGATATCGATCTTTCGCCTGCTGCTTGTGTGGCGTATCGAGATAAAATCTCAGCCACCATCGACTTGTCCACGCAAAACGGCAATTAGCAAAGGAACCCAATAAATCCGGATGACCTAAGCGCGACAGTAACCTGTTCCAGGTCCTGCACACACACTATCCTGGTCTAC